CTCAATTAATGTTTGTTAAACTGAATGAAAACACTAAATGCAAGACCCTTCCAAGTTTCTTAGCAAAAACTCTGGCTCAGATTATATTATCAATGGATAAGTGGCAGCATATCCTTTCTAAATCATCAAGGAAATTTACTAATTTAACAGGCCCAAGAGCCAAGGCATGCTACTAGAAGTCTGGATGTATTTGTTACTAAACTGTGATAAAGCATACCATTCTCAAAGTACAGGAGATTCAGAATGAGAGTATTTTATTTAAGACATGCTTAACTAAAAGCTAGAAGTGATTTTATGACTACAGAAACATGTTTTTAGAGCATGAACATCACATGATGAGTACCATTTGGGGAATGAAAGTCATTCCAGCCATTTTTATAGCTTGTTCAGAAAAAAAGGTGTTCTGAATTTTAGCTGACAGCATTTTCAGTGAGTAATAATTTTTCCTTAAAAAGACAGTCTAATCAAGTGATTACACTAAAAGTCTAATTCAAATACAACTATTCACTAATTTCTATGACAATCTAGGAGAGAAAATAATTATCATTTATCAAGGAAAAATTGTATGCATATATATACCTTCTTAATTTGCTATTGTAATAGATATTTCTATTCCTTTAACATTTTTTCCAAATTCAACAATAGTTCCTTAATTTTCACCTCTCTTATTCAAAATTATTTGAGGATATATAATATTTTGTTCGTCTATGAACATTAGCTTAAGATAATGCTTTGAGGAAAATGTAGAAACTTAGAATAACAAACAAAGACTGCCCCAGAATAGATCACAAAGAATTATACCAATGAGTAGACTGTTCCACTCTCAAGGAAAGATATTTAAGATTCTGATAGGCTTGTACATATCAGTGTGTAATGATTTTACAAAAAGAAAGTTCTTCATTAGGTTCAGACAAATAAACCTAAGCCCTCCCACTTCGCTATCTACTAAGTTAGAACTGTCTTAATTAGCTCTTCATATAATTAAGATAAGAAGTTAGCCACACTTTCTCATCTTATCTAAGTAATACCAATATTTTTTCCCTTTTTTAAAAGCTCTGCAATCAAATTTCAAATAATTTCTGTTGATAATATAAACCCTTAATGATTTTTCTATGTTCCCTTTAATTATGAAGGTCAAAATAAAAGCCAAGAAAATGAAGCAACACTAGCTACTTTGTTCAGAAAATACAACTCTTTAAAGGTATTCTATAAGTTTATATAATTTGTATGATTAGTTTTGAAATTGGAAACCAGAAACACATCAAAGTTTCTTTGTAAAGACCTTTGCTCATAACTGACTTATCTAGACACTGAATATCTTCTCTCAGTTGTGTCACCAAAAAAAACCCACTTTACAGTGTTTCCTTTTATCAGTTTTTTCCTCCCTGAGTATGTGCCCTTGTTCCCAAGGCACTGCGCACTGTGCTGAGGGGCACTGAAAAAGCTCATCCGGAATCACAGCCTTTGATCTTAAATATTAAGTGCTCTACTTCAACAACCAGTGCAAATATAGCTCAGATGTTGATTAAATCAAAGATAAATTCCAGTTCTAAGAAGATGGTAGCTTCCTGATTCCTTGACACCATGAATTAATTTCCGCATTTCAAAATAGTTCTTAATATCTTCCCTGTTCCTCCTCCTCTTCTTTCTCCCTTTCCTGCTACTGTTCCACCTCCTCCTCCTTGTCTCTCTCCCTCTCCCCCTACCCACACACAGAGAAGAGCTCCTTCTTCTCTTTCATCAGTGGCTGCTATTCCCTCTATCTCTTCTACATGGTCATTATTGACCATTATTTTCCCCTTGTTTCTTCACACCTTTCTTTTAGTTTCTGTCCTTAACTACATTGCTCATTATGTATGAGAAACAAATTTTTACTATTTTTATTATTATTATTATTCTTGACATTGCCAGTCAATGAAAATATTGTTTCTCTAGGCTCTTTGGCTAGATGATCTAGAAATAATCTGACTGAAATAATTAGAATCTTTTTTTTTTTTTTTTT